TTGTCACTATTTCGCTCCTTCTCTCGCTTCCTCCGCGAAACAGTTCTACTTTTGCGTCTTCTGAAAATAATGCAAAGAAAAGAAACCTTAGGAAATTATCCCTCGTTCATTCAATTTGTGGTGCAGCATTGGGGTCTGAAGAACTGCCGATAGACCAAGAGATGCCAGAGAAGACGCATTTTTTTTATTTTTTTAATCATTCACTCCAAGCAAGGCGATAAAGCCACTGAGATGCAAGGGGTTACTGAGTGTGAAAGAAGATGAGAAAAATAAACACTTTATTATGGTGAGAAAATAACAAAAGATAATGATTAACATTGCATTTAAATTTCTGGAGATCAAAGTTGACAGGAAAACAAGAAGCTGGAATAAAGTTCTACAAGCGAGAAGTGCGAAAATAAGAAACTGTTAGCATAAAACTTACGGTTGCATCTAGACATTTCAACGATAGAATGATGAGACCTAGCTGCCAATCTTGTACTGCGCTGAAATTCACAAAGTCGTGGTATCAAAAAAAAAAGAAAACTCAGAAGAAATACCATTAAATTATTTCTAGACGCAGGGAAGCTACATTACGGTGCTGTGAAAATGACTGGCGCCGAGATGTCAAGTCAGGACCGATGACATTGCAGATTCTTCTATGTATTTAATCAAGAATCTCTAAATACATAGCAGAAGAACGAAACCATATGGGACAGCAATATTCAATGCATGAACAAATGATAGGCTTATAAATATGCAAGATAGATTCTTCTTTGTATTTAATCAAGAATCTCTAAATATATAGCAGAAACAACAGATCAGATGTAACAGCAATATTCAATGCACAGACGAACGGCAGATTCATAAATGTGTAATGTAGAGTCTGACGATAAAAAAATTGTCTAGCACGACATGTTGAACCAACTTTCCTAGTAGCTGAACTAGCAATTGATTCAATATAATATTTCCACTTCATGTCAGCAGAAACGTTAGCTGTGAAAGACGCAACGAGTCACTGTTCTGGAGGTTAGCATTAGCCATACTGATGGAAAGCAGAAACTGTTCTTTAAGATGAAATTCGTCTTTAAATAGCATAATCGTTCAACTTGGGAAGAAGACAAGCACCGTCATGGTAAGACGATAAACTACATCCGCGTCCTGGGTATGACGATAAACTACATCCGCGTCCTGGGTACGACGATAAACTACGTCCGCGTCCTGGGTACGACGATAAACTACATCCGCGTCCTGGGTACGACGATAAACTACGTCCAACAGCAGGGCCTCTGATCAGCAGACTCGGGATGGTAGCACCTGTTAGGGTTCCAGCTATGGGCAAATAGTTTACCCCCCCCCCACATACACACACACAAAGGGGTCAAAATGCCATGAAAGTATACAAATAGGTTTTAATACCAGCAATACATTTTTGCAAAAGATTATTACAAGCAATTCAATTTTTGAAAAAAAATATTACCAGCAATACATTTTCGGAAAATAAAAATCTTGTCGGCATTAAATAACCCATTGAGATTGATATGCTGTAAAACAAACCAAACTAAACCGAATTCACGCATACAAAATCCTGTCCAACGCCTTCGAAATATTTATAGTAACATCCCGTGATTCACCATTCTTATCTAAAGCTTGATAGACTGTTTCACCAATAACCTTTAACACATCAGCAGTTGACCTAGAGAAGCGAAAACCATAATGTTTGTCTCAAAGAAAACTCTGCGAGGAGAAATACTTAACCATTCGAAATTAATTAGGTGTCTCTAGGGTATTGTGAAAAGGTAGAACGTTAATAGTTCGAAGGGTCAGATGGTTGGTCTGGATTCTTAAAGACTGAAACAACAAAAGAGGATTTCCAACAAGCAGGTAAGCAAGAAGATGCAAGAGATTTATTATATAGTTTAGAATGAACACGAGTTTGTTCGATTTGTCAGAGAGATGATCTGAGCGTGTGACACCGTTGGAAAATGCCTGAAAACAACACTACTTTGACCGTGGCCAGACATTTGGCCAACAAACATTTCACCGAACGCACATTTGGCCGACAGACCTTTCATCGAAAAAGTACAAGCAAAAATAGTAACAAGCAATACTTTAAGTATTTTAATTAGCAGTATTATAAGGTAGAATAGGACTAATAATTACCACTGAGTTTCAAGTGATTAAATTACTAAATTTAAAGTTAAAAATTTTCTTTTCAATATTTGTTTATTGAAATTAAGGTTAATTTTCAGTGTAACACCCGCGCTCAGTTTGCATAAAAAAATTCCAGAATTCTTACATTTATGTGTAATTGTACATGCTCCATTCGAATATGGCTTGATAAATTTGATAAAATCTACCGTTTTGGAGTTATCGATAGTGAAAATTTAGATTCATTCACGTCGCGGGCAGCCATTACTGGCGTTGTTTGCATACATTCGCTGCAGAATAGCTATCAGTGTAGGTATCATTGCACAAACTGACCGTGTGTACGTAAATAGTTCTTGTGCGCAGTAATTGAGACAAATTTAGACACGAAAGATCAGTTCCGCTCTTAGCTTTCCGTAGTCTTCCGCGTTTAGCTATCTGCAGTAAATGTATGCAAACAACGCCAGTAATGGCTGCCGCCAACGACGCGAATGAATCCGAACTTTCACTGTCGATAACTCCAAAACGGTGGATTTTATCAAATTTATCAAGCCAGATTCGAATGGAGCATATACAATTACACAGAAATGTAAGTATTCTGGAAATGTCTAATGCGAACTGAACGCGAGTGTTACACTGCAAATTAACCGAAATTAGTATTTTAACAATATTTGAGTGTATTTGAGTAAAATACAGCATCTAATTATTTAAATTCATATTTAACTGTAAGATAAAAGTTAATTCATCCCTTTAAAATAATGGGCATTCAAAGCGAAATTTCATATCTTAAAAGTCCGAATAACTAGTTTGATACAATTGCAGTAAAATTGGTAGACGGATTTCAATGTGACTAGAAATGTAGATTTATTATTCTAAGATCGACAATTTTGGCGTAAGACCGAAGGGACAGTGAGGTCGGGCTGGTCAGCATTAACTATCCTAGATCTAGTTAATCAGATTTAGATCTAATATTTAGTTGAAGCCATAATATTGTGTTCAAATTATTTAGATTCAGCATTAAATAACCTATCGAGGTTGATATGCCGTTAAACAAAATTAACCAAACAACTAAGACAAAAGAACGCTTTCATGACATTAATCCGTATAATATTCTACGATTTCTTAAAGAAATCAAAGTGTATTCCAAAATATAACTTCAACAAAACTACAACATAAAACACACATATCACAGCCTCTTGTAATCATGTTCACACAAACATGTATAAGTTAACAAGAAAATTAAATTACTACATTAAATGATCCATAAGGAGATGATATGCCATTAAATTAAACCATAACTTTCCCAAGGGTATTAGCATATAACTGAATGCAATGAACTCTATTGATTTCCATCCAGGTTGGGAATGCTTATTTATTGTGTAAAAAGGCTGAAGGAGCAACGGAGTAGGGTTAGTCAGCATTAACTATCCTAGACTTAGCTAATCACATTTACGACCCATTGATTCATTGCAATTTGTTTAGTCACTGCAAGAATTCATCCACCACCATTCAATCCTACATACACCACAATACTACAATTTGTTCTGTACCAACTCTCGTCTCTTCTCGCGCACTCAACGACGAAAACGCCACAGACTCTCTTTACAGACTTGATAATTGATCGTCTGGCCCTGTAGCAAGAACTTACTGTGAACGATGCCTATAGCTCACACAGCACATACATTCCCGTTACTTTTCAAACAGATATATATATATATATATATATATATATATATATATATATATATATATATATATATATATATATATATAAACGAAAAAAAAGAAACCGTTGATAGAGCCAAAGGACAACTTCCTAAACCTAAAGCTCTTATCCAGACACACTCTTGAATAAAAACGACAATACTTAAAAAAGAAAAAAGGCCTAAAGGCAAACTTACCTAATCAGTTGAGTGCTCGAAGCCTAGATTGCCTAGACCAAGCAGAAAACGATTAACAGCGCTAAATCCTATGAAAGAATGGTTCTAGACATAACTCGAGTTTCATACGATTTTCAGGTGACTACAACGGAATTGAAAGAATGGAAGAACGGGCTTTATATAACCAGTGATTCTCTCTGAAGCATTAATAATTTCATTGAAAAACCAGTGGATACCCACACCTATACAGAGAAAAAAGAAAATAGGCAAATAAAAAAAAATTATGGATGGGCTAAACTACTAATTGTCGTACTGTCGTGTTGTATTTCAGTGGGGAAAATATTAGCCATTAAACTAATACGCTAATCTATACAACCTTTCACTTTACGGACACCTACGGTACTTAACAAACTAGTTGCACATACAACATCACAAATGTAATAATGTCGATTGTCACTGGGTGTGTCCATATAGTAATCTTGTTCCAAACTTAGTTATACTAAGTAAATAAATAACAGCGCCGGTCGTACTACGATGGTGAATTTCTCAAAGATTACTGACTCGTAGGCTAACTGTGATCCTTACTACATGACCTACTACTAAGGTCTTGTGGCAGACTGATCTTGATAAATAACTAACCCCAATTGTTATAACTTCTTAATGCTTTCTTATACTCTCAGCTTTTATTATTGAAACATTTTCAATTCCAGACTTCCTTAAAATTAATCGCCATGGGTGGACTCAACGGAGCGATTCCTTGGTGGACAGGGCTCAATGACAAAGACTTGGAAGGAAATTTTGTCTGGGCAGACAATACACCCGCTGATATGAATATTATGTAAGTCATTTCAACCATTGTCTATGAAAAATCATTTTCCATTAATAAATCGAAAAAATGTGTCCCTGGTTTTTCTTTTCATTTTTATAGACGTAATTGAAGAATTTAATTCGGTTACAACCCAATTTAAGAAAACAAAGCTTGATATATACACTTTAGATAGATAGATAGATAGATAGATAGATAGATAGATAGATAGATAGAAATATGAGAGATAAATATAAATCTGATGAGATAGATAGATAGATAGATAGATAGATAGATAGATAGATAGATAGATAGAAATATGAGAGATAAATATAAATCTGATGAGAGAGATAGATAGATAAATAGATAGATAGAAAGAAATATGAGAGATAAATATAAATATGAGATAGATAGATAGATATATAGATAGATAGATAGATAGATAGATAGAAATATGACAGATAAATATAAATATGATGAGATAGATAGATAGATAGATAGATAGATAGATAGATAGATAGATAGATAGATATGAACATTAATAGATAGAAAGAAACAATAATAGAAAGATATATGGATAGATAGAGATGTGAACAGGTATATATATATATATATAGATAGATAGATAGATAGATAGATAGATAGATAGATAGATAGATAGAAAGAAATATGAGAGATAAATATAAATCTGATGAGATAGATAGATAGAAAGAAATATGAGAGATAAATATAAATATGAGATAGATAGATAGATAGATAGATAGATAGATAGATAGATAGATAGATAGAAATATGACAGATAAATATAAATATGATGAGATAGATAGATAGATAGATAGATAAAAATGATAGAAATATGAGATAGAAAGAAAGAAAAATGACAGAAAGAAAGAAAGAAATACGATGAGAGATAAAAAAGATAGAAATATGCTGAGATAGATAGATAGATAGATAGATAGATAGATAGATAGATAGAAAGAAAGAAATATAATGAGATACCGTGATAGATTATAGATATTTGAAGCCGAAAAGTCAATATCACACCAGTTTAATTTAAAATGTCATTTCCTTTCAGAGCGTAGGCGATCAAGACTCAACTTAAATTCTTTTTTCTTATTATCTAGGAATTGGCATGATTTCTTGAGGGAGAATAGTGGATTGGTTTCTCCCCGCGTGGATGTGAGAGACTCTGCTTTTCCCCTCGTATATCATATTTATATAACCTCCTGGGCACCTCGAGGCGGTGTAATGGTTAGCAAGCTTGTCTCGCTAGCACAATTACGAATGAGTAGTGAGTTCGTTCCTCACTGGGTACCCCATACTTTCGGCCTTGTGCCACATCTAAGCTACGCTTAGAAAATCGAAAGCTTGTCTTGCTAGATCAATTACGACTGAGTAGTGAGGTCGATCCTCACTGGATGCCCGATACTTTCGGCCTTGTGCCACATCTAAGCCGGGCTTAGAAAATCACTCTAACCTCCTGTCACCTGGATGTCTTGTGCGTGTGTGCATATCCAAAGCTCAACAAGGTCCCCATCTTTGTTTTTATGTTACGGGATACATTGGTGGTTATGAGATCAGTTTCTAATTTAAACTTCTTTCGGAACAAAGAGATGATGGAATGAAACAGCTCTACGCGGCCTTGACTTCCGATGGCTACCAGACCCTCTCATATATAAATGTTCCGATTTGATACCAAGGGCAAATCTCTATTTTGATAATTCATATGGTAAGCCTAGTACATATTCCGGGTAACACAGATCAACTTATCTTAGAACAAAGTCTCCTTATTGACATTAAATTCTATTTTTTAAAAATCTGATATTGCGTGGCTCGAATTAGGAACTACATGAATGAAAAAAAAATTACTACAAAGATCAACAAGTCTAAAAAATATTTTTTTAATCAATTCACCCCGAGCAAGGTGATAGTACCACTAAGATGCAAGGGCTTCGGAGATGACAGAGAAAGAAAGACTTTAGAAAGAATCGGAAAGCCTATTAAGGAAAATAAATGGTAAATACAATTTCAGAGTATAGGCGAAGACGTTGGAGTATAAAGTTGAAGTAACTTTAAAAGGAGCTGAAAACCGAATTCTAAATAAGAAACAAGAGATAAGAGACTGAAGCCATCTTTTTCATCCGTGATAAGATTGTCCAGCATTCACTGCTATATAGGAGAACCAATATTCCACCACAGTTCATTGCTCTCTTCATTTTTAACGAAATTTCCCTCTTTTAAATACTTTGCTTAGATTTTGGAAGGCATCTTTCTCTATCCCAATTCACTTTCGAATTACAGTATGGCATTTTTCTGACCTTTGTTAAAGCACTTCCTAGATATTTACATTTTTCTATTTGATTGATTTTGGTATCTCCAATTCGTATTTCGCATCTTGGGCTCTTCCTTTTACTGACGACCATATATTGTGTCTTCTTACAATCGATGATTAGTCTTTTCTTCACGTTTTCTTCTGATTTTATTATCAGTTTTATTCAATATTTGTCTATATCTCTGAGATGAGTTATTATGATTACTTGCATTATTTACATTATTCGGACTGTTATCCTCAATTTCATTGCCATATTCACAACATTTTAGCCGTTGTACGCTCCAGCCTTCTTCAGGTGATTGGAATTTCGAACTGAACCCTTTATTTCGTCCCCCGGGGTAGATTGTTCTAGTTCTACGTGCCACACCTCTTCCGGATGTCTCAGTTATTTCCCTTTAACTCAACTATCCAAGTTTTGGTTCACCAATGGTATTGAATTCACAATTCTGTGTTTAATCACTGGATCTAACCAACGTCTTTATCCACTGGGCCATGACAATGAAGATGAGGATAACAGTCCGAATAATATAAATAATGCAAGTAATCATAATACCTCATCTCAGAGATATAAACAGATATTGAGAAATGTTATATTAGACGATAGGATCCCAATGTCAAATCCAGGCTTGTCGGACTAATAAGAACTAGTCTTACCCGCGAAAATTTCACGGTTTTCCTATTTAAATTTTCTGATGAATAATAATTCTCAACTTAATGATTGAATATGCTCTTTGGGGGTTCTACGACAATAAAATACCCGTGAAAATTCCCCGGTTGCTTCGTTGATTATTTGCGCCCAACAACTTTAACAAAATATTACAATAACAATCAAAAATATGAATGCAGGCCATTATTTCAGAGAAGAGCGTACAAATGTAAAGATTTGAAATTGACAAGATTTTCTATTCAATGAAGCAGACGTTGAACACATAAGAGCATTATCGCCTCCGCCTTCTCTGCTCTCTCTCTCTCTCTTTCTTTCTTTCTTTCTTTCTTTTTCTCGCTGAAATCAAACATCATTTCTGATATGTTTTTTTGTCTTTCCTCGCGATCAAAACGCAATAGTCCATTACATACACCCTTGTGCCAATTAATTGAAACAAAACGAATAATTCCATTATAATTTACTTCACATGTTAGTACTAAATATATCCATTCACGAAGTCGTTCCTTCGAGATTGACCACAGATTCTCGATTGGATTTAAATCAGGAAAGTTTCCGGGCCAGTCTATAGTACTTTGATGCGCTCACTGGTAAGGCTTGCTAGTGTGTTCATGTAACGTTACAAGTTTCGTACGCTTCCTTGGAGTAAAGTCTATCGCAGATAATGGCTGTAGGACAACTAATCAATAGTCGAAACAATAGTGTCTGGGCGTGATGAAACTCTGATGCCTGTCACGGATGACGCAATATCTTTCAAGGTCAAACAAATTTCATCATACACCCCGAAAATAGATTTATATTACTGCACACCACTGCAAATGACCTAATGTGGTGGAAAAATAGAAATCGATTACACCCTGTGACTCCAATGGGTTTAAAACTGACTTTATGGCGAGAGAAAGGAAACTAAATCGGTTGTTTCAATTAATTTTTACAAGGGTGTAAGAGCTATCGTAGGACGTAACGTACGTTCTAAAGAAGGAAATACCAAACAGAATTATATTATGAACATTGTTTAAAGAGTATGTTTTCTTAACAGAACATGGGATGCAGCCCCTAATCCTGATCGAAAACAGATGAGGAACTGCGCTGTGATGCACACTGGCGGTTTTATACGAGATCAGAACTGTGAAGGAAAGGCTTTTTATATCTGTGAAATGCCAACCGTTCGAGGTAAATAAATATTTTAATGAAGAGTTTGATGGAGGTACCAGGCAAGAAAGCTCATATGAACAAATCCAGATTCAGGGCCTCCTCACTACTTGCTTTGGTTGCTTTTGTTTAGCGGCATATCAACACCTCTATGGTTTATTTAATGCTGAAATCTAAATGAGAATTAAAACTTTGTAATCAATTCAAGAGAATGACATTATTTCATGATTAAATTACTTAACTGCATTTTTGTTACCAAATAATCTTACAAGATCAAACGAGAAACGAAAACTTGTTATTCCTTACAAGACAAGAGATTAATCATAGCAAATTGTTTTGTTTTGTTTTTGTTTGATTTTTTTTTTTTTTTTTTTTTTTTGGTTGTTGTTTTTTTTGGGGGGGTTGCACAGTGTATGCCATATCTTCAATTTTATGGGTCATTTTTACTATTAAAATGTATTGTTGGTAATTTTTTAATAGAAACTTATTGCTCGCATTTTTACTATAAAAAATGCATTTTTTTTTTTACTGGTGTTTTAACTTTTGTTTGTGAGTTTACTATTTTCCCATAGCCGTGATTGTCACAGGTGCTACCACCCGGGTTAGGGTGGACCCAGGAACAACAGAAATTAAGACGTTGTTCCACGCTCTTCAAAACCTCCAATTTCTAGATCAGAGGCCTAGCTGCCGGATGTAATTTATCGTCATACCCAGGACTTTCACTCTTTGACCATATTTTCAGGAGTATAGACGTACTCACCACGTTTGGCCAATTGCAAGTTGGTGAGATTATTTAACCCGTAGTTGGAGGTTTTGAATTCAGAGTTGCCTTTCTCCTAGAGCGTTTTTTTTTTTTTTACTTTTCATTTGAATTACATCTTTTTCTTGATACCATTTCCATCCTGTAAAAATTGCAGATTTTCCAGAGCCCACTCTGTCATGCCACGTTTTATATTCAGCGGGTGCTAACATCGTGCAGTAGATGTTCAGTTGTTTCTGGATATTTAACAGGGATCTGCATTTCGGGTTAACACAATTTTTCAGTATGTATGCTTGGTAATTTCTAGTTAGCAAGAATTGGTCCTGTGCAGCAAGAATAAAACCTTATGAATATTATTTCCTTGGATTTCTGTTGTATACACATTTCCTTCCGAGTCCCGACCTGAGACCCAAGGCCAGAAATGGCTTCATGACATTTCCCACTGATCATTTTTTTAGAAAAATAATAAAAAAAAATAAGATCACACACATTTTACCAAGATAAAGATCTTTGTAATGTGTGAGCTGTATTTGTGTGTACAATTCTTTGTATTTTTTTAAGGCATGGGCTACTTCATTGAGTCTATCGGAACCCTTTCAAATCAAAACGAGGACCCCAACTGCAATTGGAATTTTTGATGTTCTCATACATCACTTTTTTTAGATTTTCACTTCAAGATCCTTGTACAGTAGCGGCCATAATATAAAGAACGGAAACAACAAAGACATAAATATGTGTATTACTTAAAAAGTAATGCATGATTAGCAATGAAATTTTTACCGAATAAAGATTAGGGTGTAATGCATGAATGTTATACAAAGTTACAAAATTTACATAATAGTTTTTCTTTTTAAATAAAGATTAAATGGAACAAAGGAAATAAGCTACTGGACAAAAGTTAAGGAACGATCTTGTTAATACTTGATTCTGAACAAAATATCAACAAAATTTAATATTTGGTAAACATCTCCTTATTTTCAATAACTTCTCTGCATCGTCGACCACATGATCCAATTAATTTATTGCAAAAATCAGCAGTAATTCCCTCCCATTCGTCTTTCAATAACTCCCATAGGTGATTCTGGTTTTTCGGGTTTCTTTTGTGAGCCCTTTCTCTAATTATCTTCCAAACATTTTCTATTGGATTCAGGTCGGGGCTCTGTGCTGGCCACTTCATTAGGGCGATTCCTTCTTCTTCAAATAAAGCCATAACCTTCTGAGCCTTGTGGCAAGGTGCATTGTCCTGTATGAAAATAGGAGATTCATAAAGATTTTGGTGTAATCTTGGTGCCACATGATGCTGAAGAAGCCTTTTGTAAATCTCAGCATTGATATTGCCATGTACGCGGATGATAGGTCCAACTCCTGCAGATGAAATCATTCTCCACCCCATCACACTGCCGCCACCAAACTTAACGGTTTTCTTGACACATTGAGAAGACTGTCTTTCACCTGTTCTACGGTGTACGTAAGTTTTGCCCTCAGAACCAAATATAGTAAACTTGGACTCGTCACTGAAATGAACTGTATCCCACTGTGCGTCAGTCCAAACATGTTCTCTCGCATATTCCTGGTGTGCCCTTTGGTTTCGCTTTGAAATGAGA